AATGCTGGTTATAAACATCCGATAGACAGCTAGGAATATTTTTTTAGCAGTGCCCCAGGGCAGATTTATGTTCAAGGTTAAGGGTTACGGTTAGGCTTTACGCAAGAGCCTCAGATTCGCATCATTCACACCCTCCTCCGCACCTTGCGACAAGTACTCCCACCCATGACGTAGCCTTCCTGAAGAGGCGCTTCATTGCCGTACAGGCCCCGCCAACAATGCGAATTCTGGGGTTGCTGTATGGTAAGTTCCATAAACACGGGATCCTAATACAGACTCCCAAATACTATAATGCTATTATGGGGACAACCAAATAGGGTAGCCACTAATTTCGGGAACCCCTAAACCCTAAAGCCTATACCCTATATAACCACTATACAACCCTATCTGGCCCCTATAATCCCCTTTCAAGCTACCCCTAATTTTGGGAAACCTTGTCTTATGAGAAGTAGGTGAGGCGCCTTTGTGAGAGCTTGCCTGAACTCGGCTTGGTGGAACTGGCTAAACCCCCAGACCTAGCTTCCATATGCACCTAAATCCTAAATCCTAAGCCTTAAGCGCTAAACCTTAAGCCCTAAAACCTAAGCCCTAAACCCTAAACCCTAAGCCCTAAACCCTAAACCCTAAGCCCTAAACCCTAAACCTTAAACCCTAAACCCTAGAAGGACTGGATGCTCATCCTGAACTGAACTGCCATGCGTTCATCCCGAAGCCTTCAGCCTGGAACCTTAATTCTTGTGCCCTTTCCACAGGAAGTACACTGAATGTACCTAGACTCCTTAAAGGGGAGCATATAGGGGATTATATAGGGTTTAGGGTTTAGGGTTCAGGATTTAGGATTCAGGGTTTAGGGTCTAATTTCCGCAAACGGGGTTGTCTAGGGGATGATATAGGGAAGTATAATAGGGCCTTTTAACGGGATACTAGGAGTTTAGACTATAGCTCACACGTGAGAAGCCTCAAGACGTTTGAACTGTAGGGTTCTGCATGTAGAGGAACTTTGAAAGATTATTCAGCAGAGCCACCATTTCGCCAACCTGCTCCTGAACAGAGCCCTCAGAAACCGTATCCTGGTAGGTTGTCAAAATTTCTGATCCCATTTCGGCTAGCCTAAGTAGTACGGGCCGCATGATAATGCAGACCCAACTAGGGAACCTCATTTTGACTGCCCCCAATATATAGTCCCCCTTAAGTAGATAGAATATGGGGTATATGGGGATTTTGTTATAATATACCCAAAGCCATATTCTATCTACTTAAGGGGGATTATAATTAACCCCAATATATACCCTTTCATAATATGGTAGCTTCCATTTTTCTTTTCCAATATCCCAATGTAACCTCAATACTACCCTAATATTCTATCTACCAAAGGGGGCTATAAACCCTAAGCCCCAAAATCCCAACCCTAAACCCCATATGTTCTATCTACTTAAGGGTGAGTATAAGACAACTATCCGAACTCACGGAGCAGAGGCAAGCTCACTGCTCAACGCTGCACAAAATCAGTCGGACGGTCAGTGGGCCCCTGGAATTAAAGTTAGGGTTTAGAGTTTAGTGTTTAAAGTTTAGGGTTTAGGTTTTAAGGTTTAAGGTTTAGGGTTCAGGGGTTTCTGATGTAGGGAGTTCTTTGGCAGAGTTTACGGACTAAGGTCAAGGGTGACGAGTTGGAGTGTTGTAGGCTTGCTGTTAAGGAACTTAAACTAAGTTACCATAATGGGTATATATAGTAAATAATAGGGTTTCCCCAATATAGTAACCTAATTTAAATTCCGTAACAGCAACCGAGGTTGTAGTGGGAGTTGGGGTTGAACTGGAGTTGAGAAGTCCAGGGCGCAGGACTTGGGGGGTCAGGTTTCGGGAAGTATGTCACCAGGGAAACTCGGGCGTTGCATGAGCATGTACAAGATTGCAGTGGCTTCAAAGATCATATAGTTTCTTTCTTCTTTTCCATTATATAAGCTTATCATTGTTATTGGCCTTCGAGCTTTTCGGCGCCGTGGAAGGCGTGCCA